CTAAATATGAACTAATAAATAACTAAAATAACGATAATGCGTACATCAATATTCATTACACAGTACGTTTGTTTAGGACGAAAATAACACATGCGTAGAACGGAATCCCTTTAATAAATTTTATTATTTTGTACTGTCGATTGGGAAGAGGGGGATTCTAGACTCTGAGCCCATAAAAAATTAGATAATTTATATTTTGTTATACCAGAGATCCACAGGATTATGTAAACATTATAAAACAATGATAAGTGATCACGATATCAGAAACCTGTTGTGAGATACTTGCTACTTAGTTATATCTTATATACATAGTACATACCAACAGGAAATGCCATTAAAATCATGATTTAGGTATAAACTAAGTTACTTTAGGTGCTCGCTACTAATTAGTACCTAGACTTAGTTTATATGGTCGAAAATTAAAATAATGAGAAAATGTAAAGCCAAACTATCGAACATTTAAAGTTTAATAATTTAATCAATATTCTAATTTTAGTACATATGTTCTTTGAAAAATATAGAATTGCACTAGTGTTTGATAAAAACAAAAAGTTATACTCAAACGATCAATTCTTTAAGACTTAGGTTATCTAATTCTAATATCTACATTATACAGCCCACAGGTATAAATAATATACTAGATTAGTAGATTGCTAACTAATAAAAAGAGTTGACGCCAAAAACTGTGTTGTCTGCAGTGGTCCTCTAGCAGTGGCACGCCGAACACGTACTTTGAGGTAGTTCAATTGAACTGCCTTCAAATTGAGTGAGTGGATCAAATAATAGAGTATACTTCCTAATCTTGCTGCCATAATTTTACTAAACACAGGAATGTCATTAAATTATGTACCTGCAGTGTATAATTAGTTAAGCCTGCATGTAGTCGAACTATTTGAATTGCCAGTTTCATTTTCATTCGGCACCACTGGTTCTCTGTATGTTGTCGTATACGCCGATCACCGACGTACACAAATAAACGAACAAATTAATTATAAGCACTTTTATTAAACACTTTGACGTCCAGTGGTAATCGAGTCACACGACTACCTCCAACTGACCCCTTTTCTGTCTTCACATGTTCCTTAAATATACATTTTAAAATCGAAACACTATCGGTAATATCGATATTAAGTTTAATCTAGTTACATTATACTTACTGACTATGTTTAAAATTATACTAATTGTTATTGTATTACCCCATTACATAATTGTTTTGGTATTTTACCTGTTACATATGATTGTTTACTTAACCTAGTTAATAGTTATATTTGTAATATTTCTTATATATTATGCATGATATAACAATGATGGTTTTATCATACGACAAATCTTATTAGTCCATGGATAATATATATATATTATTATCTTTGAATTTATCACTAGCTGGACTTCATGAAATACCATAACCCACAAACTACATGTTGAAAAAATAGCGCCACCCGTCCTGTTTGTTGTCAATGACCAATGTATAGTAGCACAGAACCGCTGTGGTAAGCAATGTAGTTTATAGCAAGGCTGGGCATTTACGAGTTTAAAAGTTAAAGTTAAGTTAAAAAGTTAATTTTACTTTAACGTTTTAACTTCACTAGTTACTTTTGGATTTTCATTAACTTAACTATTAACTTATTAAATTTCTGTTTTAATTAACGTGAAATTAACGAATTAATGTATCATTTTAAGAAATAAGTAAAGTTGATTTATTTTGTTTGTAATTTTTTAGATTCTGAACGAAGTGATGAATGTATTGATTTTACAATGATGTGTGTTTTTTTTTTTGTGTGTGTGTGTCTCCAGTGTGTCTGTGTACAGAATAACTAGTCGAAATAATGCTTCAATTTCAAACTTTGGGGGTGGTTTCCGATGTGAAATTGAAGATCCTTGGTGCATTATA